GTAAATTAAAGCAGGTAGCTCAACATTAATGAAAGCAGGTAGCTCAACATTAATGGAAGCAAGCAGCTCATTTTATAATCGTCGAAGGAAGCACGTCGATATAAGTAGCTGAATTTTCCTAGATTTCATGCGGCTAGAATTTATATAGAAAGTTTAAGAAAAGAAAGGCAGCAGAATAATTGTCAATTTATTTTGGGTTTTGGGAGAAAGTGTGCATTTTGCTGCATCCTAATTTTTCATTGTTTCATGATTAATTTTGTTTTAATATTTTTGTCTAGTTGTTTGCCTTTTTTTTGTTCATGTTGCATAATTCTTTGGATTTTGAGTCTTTGATTCTAAATTCCATATATCTTATTTTCATTGTTTTCTATTCTAGATTGTTGGATCTTGAATATTATATTTTTGATTCTTAGTTTTCTTATTTCGTGGATTCTACTTGTTTCTTACTTGAGTTTGACACTTTACAATCATTCCTATGTGAATTGTTACTTGTTTGTTTCATTAGCTTCTTGGTTGCATATTTGAGAGAGATTGCATTCTTGTGAGAGAGCATCCTTTTGAGCGTAAACACGAGCGAACCACGTCAATTGAGTGAACACGCGAGGGAGTGAATTGTGAGGTCCACTTTTCTTTAATTGTTTTCTCTTTTGCAGCAATGTCAAACTTAGGAGATAGACCTAATAATGAAGATGTAGAAGGGATGGAACCACAAGAACAACTCCTTGCAAGAGTCACGCAAAATGTGGAGACCATGATCAATGAGAGGTTAGATAGGATGGAGCAAGGACTTCAAGCTAGGGATATACCTCAAGGAAGAAGACGGCCTAAAGAAGTTTTGGAGGAGGAAGAAAACTTAGGGTAAGAAGATGAAGACGAGGAGCTGGAGGTTGCAGCACCTAAACGAGGACAACGCTGAGGAGTGAAAGGAATAGGAGGTTTCCATAATAGAAGGCAACAAGGGAGGAGAGAACACAACCATGGAGATCGGGGCTTTGGAAACATTAAGGTTAAATTTCCCAAGTTTCATGGCACTTCCAACCTGAAAGATTATTAGAATTGGAACAAGAAGCTGAGCATATATTTATGGCAACAACCTCACAGAAAAGAAAAAGATAACTATCTATATGTTACGCATTTTAAGAGTTATGCACGGACTTGGTGGGATAAGGTGCGTTCTAGGAGAAGGAGACGACAAGAAGGTCGAGTAGAAACTTGGTTGGAACTGAATGAGCTTATGAGGAGGCGGTTCATACTACTACACTCCTTGAGAGATTGTGCACAAAAACTTCAAGCTCTTCACCAAGGAAACAAGAGAGTTGAAGAATATTATAAAGAGATGGAAACATTGATGGAAATATTAGACATTGATGAGAATGAGGAGAACACCATGGCACGATTTATGAATGGGTTAAACATAGAAGTGGCCGATCGTGTTGATTTGCAGATGTATGATGATATGGAGAAGTGGTGCACTTTTCTGTGAAAATTGAAAAGCAAATTCAAAGGCGTAAGTCGAGGTACGCTACTAAGAAACCTTTTCTAAACTCAACTTCTTCTTGGAAAAAGGATGGCAAATCAATCAAATTTAAGGTGGGTAGTGAAAAACCTAAAGATAAGGGGGAAACTTCATCCAAACCCAAACCTAAAACTGACACACCCACAGGTAGGAGTCGGGATCTTAAATGTTGGAAATGCCATGGGGTGGGACATATAAGTCGGGAATGCCCTAATAAGAGACCTATGATCCTTAGAGAATGAGAGATAGTAACAGATGCGAGTGAGGTAGATGAAGAAAGGGATGAGTCTATGAATGACCTAGGGAGTGAGGAAGAAGTGGAGGATACTACATACTTATCCTTAGTCACTAGGAGGGCTCTCAGTACCCACATGAGAGAAGATAACTTGGAGGATCAAAGGGAGAACTTATTTCATACACATTGCGTTGTACAAACCATACCCTGTAGTGTAGTGATTGATTTGGGAGTTGTACGAATGTAGTAAGTTCTAGCTTGGTCTCACGACTGAGCCTAGATACTAAACCGCACCCACAATCCTATAAATTACAGTGACTTAATGATCGTGGTGAACTCAGGATGACTAAGCAGGTGAAAATTCCTATTGCCATTGGAAGATACGAGGATGAGGTACTATGTGATGTGTTACCGATGCATACAGGTGATATGCTCCTTGGTAGGCTTTGGCAGTTTGACAGGAGAGTTCATCATGATGGTTTTTGTTGATGCAGAAATTTGGCCTCTTGGGACTCCGCCAAATTCGCACCAATCTTCTAAAATAAAGGGATCGACGAGCCTGCAAAACAGAATAGCACTAAAGACCGATGTGGCTCTTGCCACACAGGTTCCGATGCTTAAGTCAGAATCAGAGTAGTTGAGTGTAAATTGTAGGGTGTTGTGAGCATATCAAATAGTAGGGATTTGTAGCATACCCTTAGGGTTTTACTTACTTCCCTATTTATAGAAGTTGAATCCTGATCCTGGATTGTGGAATTCGAATCCCTTATACATCTACGAAATCTGGTTATCCGAATCTAGGGAGATCTTCTCCTTTTGAATATAGGATATCTAGGATTTCCCATCTATAACAGTTTTCTTAATCGTTACACATTCACACACAATGGTAAGAAAATTGTACTTGTTCCCCTATCCCCCAGAGAAGTACTTATTGATCAAGAAAAATTAGAGAAAAGAAAGATCGAGGTTGCAACAAAAGCAAATTGAGGGAAACAAAAAAGATAAAGGAAAACAAAAAGAGAGCTTGAGAGAAAATGAGAGTTTGAGAGAAAAGCAAGGGCATAGCTCGTAACCTAATGAGAAAGAAGAGAAAAAAATAATCAGCTAGAGTGCTAGAACTTGTGAGGCTAGAAAAACTATGTTTTCAAAACGAACCATACTCATGGTTATGTTTAAAGAAGCTAACTTACTAACTGAAGAGCTTGAATCCTCTTTCCCTAGTGTTTTTGTGTCTCTTTTGCAAGAATTCAAAGGTGTATTTCCCAAGGAGTTGCCTAAAGAGTCACCACCTTTGCGAGGCACAGAACACAAGATTGACTTTATCCCTGATGCTCAATTCCAAATTGACCAGCATACCGGACAAATCCACAAGAGGCTAAAGAGATTCAAAGGTAAGTAGACGAGTTGCTTGTCCAAGGGTACGTACGAGAAAGTTTGGGTCCTTGTAGTGTTCCTGTCTTGCTGGTACCTAAAAAAGATGGGTCTTGGAGAATGTGCGTAGATTGTAGGGCTATAAACAAAATTACTATTAAGTATAGACACCCTATTCCTAGGCTGGATGAAATGCTTGATGAATTATATGGATGTAGCCTATTTACAAAAAATGATTTAAAATCTGGATACCATCAAATTAGGATGAATGTGGGAGATGAATGGATAACTGCATTTAAAACTAAGCATGGTTTATATGAATGGTTGGTTATGCCATTTGGCTTGACCAATGCACCTAGTACTTTTTTGCGACTTATGAACCATGTATTGCGTGACTTTTTGGGAGAGTTTGTTGTGGTTTATTTTGATGACATTCTGATATATTCTAGGACACTAGAGGATCATGTTCAACATGTTAGGTATGTTCTGATTGCACTTCGAAAAGAAAAACTTTATGCTAATCTTAAAAAGTGTAATTTTTGCATGGAAAGGATAAACTTCCTAGGATTTGTTATATCTAAACAGGGAGTGGAAGTTGATACTGAGAAGGTTTAAGCCATTAGGGAGTGGCCCACACCTAAGAATGCTAGTGAAATTATGAGCTTTCATGGACTAGCTGGTTTCTATAAGCAGTTCATTAGAGACTTTACTTCCATAGTTGCACCACTTCATGAGCTTATTAAGAAAAATATGAAATTTGAGTGGAGTAAAGCTCAAGACTGTGTATTCAATGAGCTGAAAGATAAATTATGTAATGCACCTTTGCTTGCCTTACCTAACTTTGAACTAACGTTTGAAATTGAGTGTGGTGCAAGTGGAATAGGGATTGGAGTTGTTTTAATGCAGAACTAAAGGCCATTGATGTACTTTAGCGAAAAGTTGAGTGGAGCAACTCTGAAGTACTCTACATACGACAAAGAGTTTTATGCTTTGGTGAGAGCACTGCAAACGTGGCAGCATTATTTGTGGCCAAAGGAATTTATTATTCACACTGACCACCAGAGCTTACAACATTTGAAGAGCCAACAAAAGCTAAATAAAAGGCATGCCAAATTGTTGGAGTTCAAGAAACTTTCCCTACGTGATACGGTATAAGAAAGGTAAGGAAAATGTGGTAGCCGATGCACTATCTCGGAGGTATGTTTTATTGAACTCCATTCAAACTAAATTGTTTGGCTTTGAACATATTAAGACCTTGTATTATCAAGACACTCATTTCGCACCTATTGTTGAGTCTTTTATGCAAAAATGTGTGGTGAAAGATTATATGTTGTTTGATGGTTTCTTGTATAGAAAGGATAAACTTTGCTTTCCTACTTGTTCCATTCGTGAGTTACTAGTTAATGAAGCTCATGAAGGAGGTTTAATGGGGCATTTTGGGGTAACAAAAACATATGACATGTTGACTGAACACATCTATTGACCTAGAATGAGACATGACATACACAATGAGTGTGAGAGATGCATTGCATGCAAGGAAGCAAAGTCTAGGTCAAAACCACATGGATTTTATTTGCCTTTACCAACTCCTAGCGGACCATGGTTAGATATTTCAATGAATTTTGTACTTGGCTTACCACGATCTAAAAAAGGAAAGGATAGCATATTCGTAGTAGTTGACAGGTTTAGCAAAATGGCACATTTCATTCCATGTAATAAAACTAATGATGCTAAACATGTGGCGACTTGTTCTTCACTACATGTCATCCTCAAACTGATGAACAAACTGAAGTAGTTAATAGAACAATGGTGACAATACTTAGGGCTATAATTGATAGAAACATCAAAACTTGGGAGGATTGTTTACCATTCATTAAATTCGCATATAATAGGGCTGTCCATAGTGTCACTAGATATACTCCTTGTGAGATTGTTTATGGATTTAATCCTTTATCATCACTTGATTTATTACCTTTGCCTTCTAACGAGGTTGTGAATTTTCAAGCTAACAAAAAGGCAACAACCATTCGGGAGCTACATAAAGAGGTTAAGGAAAGGATTAAGAAACAAAACACCAAAGTAGCTACGAGAGTCAATCAAAACCGAAAGCCTATTGTATTCAAAGAAGGAGATTGGGTCTGGGTTCACTTTCGAAAGGAATGATTCCCACATCAGCGAGATTCTAAGTTAAACCCAAGGGGAGATGGACCTTTCCAAGTGTTGAAGAAAATCAATGACAATGCCTATAAAATTGACCTCCAAGGTAAGTATGGCGTGAGTGCTACTTTTAATGTGTCTAACTTGATTCCTTTTCATGTAGGTGACAATTTTTATTTGAGGACGAATCCTTCAAAAGGGGAGAAGATGATATGAACCAAGATGCTTTAGCCTTGCCGCTAGGACCAATCACTCGTTCAAGGGCCAAACAGTTATAGCTAGCATTTGATTCTCACATCTAAATAGTAGTGAGCTCCACTAATGGACATCAAGAAGATAAAGATGAGAAAAAACTTTATTCATGATGTGAAATGAATATACGAGAAGAAGATGAAGAAACTTTGTATTAACAAAGTTAATTATTTTAAAATTGTTATTCATCTTATTTTAGGCCTATTTTTTAACCAATGATGTGGCATTGAATTAGGTTTTTTTTTTTATTAACTATGTCACTTTAATTGAGGTAGTATAATCTTTTAGCTTCCTTTGAGATTAGGGATTTAATCTTGTGAACGGAACGATCAATGGGTACAGAATGGATTTGGAGTGTTTTAGCGTGATGACTAAGGGCATCAACTTTGCAATTCTTGATCTAGGTTGAAAACACAGAGCATTCAAGCTAGGTTTGATCAACCTTCTTGTGGAGTGTTCAACCTTGAGTAGAGAACCAGTTCTCCTTACCTCTTGGTCTTCGATGATCAAGGTAATCCTCGTCTAATCTTTCCTTGGGATTATGCTATTTGATCTGGATTTTCGAAATTGACAGTTAAGGTTCTTCCTTAGGAGGAAGGGCTTATATCTGCAATTTTCTAAGGTTTCATATCAAAGAAAGTGACCAAGTCATATATACCAGCTGCAAATGCTCCATCAAAAATTGATATCCCAACACAGCAAGTTGTCATAACTAATGAGTATGCGAGACGCCAGAAGCGTGTAGACCAATGGGTTCCAAAAATAAAAATACTCGAAAAAGAAAAGTAGTCAATAATCAAAATGACTCAATTGAGAATGTGGATATTCCAGAAAAAAAAATTTAAAATATGACTACTCATATAGATACTGAGAAAGATACCATTTCTAGTTCTTTTTAAAAAGGGGCTTTGAAGTATATGAGGATAATAATAATGAGATCTCAATAAACTATGTCATGACAAGAAAAAGATGGAACAAAGCTAATGTAGTTATTGACAACATTTTTGCTTATAATGTTGATCTTGACATTGTATCTGAAAGTGAGGATTTTGAACCAAAATCTGTCGAAGAATGTCGACTAAGAAAGGATTGGCTTAAGTAGAAATAAGCAATCCAGTTAGAATTAAACTCACTTTTAAAACGTCAAGTCTTTGGACCAGTAGTCCGTACACCAGAAGGTGTTAAGCCTGTGGGATACAAGTGGGTATTTGTAAGAAAAAGAAATCAAAATAATAAGGTCACAAGATAGAAAGCAAGATTAGTTGCACAAGGTTTTTCGCAAAGATCTGGTATTGATTATGAGGAGATATATTATCTGGTGGTGAATGCAATTACACTGAGATATTTAATTGACCCGACTGTGTTTGAAAGTCTTGATATGCATCTTATGGATGTAGTCACAACATATTTATATGGATCTCTTGATAATGATATATATATATATGAAAATCTTTGAAGGATTTAAGATACCTGAAACATATAATCAAAGTTTTCAAGAACTGTATTCAATAAAGTTACAAATATCATAATATGGATTCAAACAATCAGAACGAATGTGGTACAATTGTCTGAGTGAATATTTGTTGAAAGAATGATATCAAAATAATCTAATTTGTCCTTGTGTTTTTATAAAGAAATCACAATCGAGACTTACCATTATAAGTGTATATGTTGATGAATTTAATATAATTGGAACTCCTGAAGAGCTTTCAAAGGCAATAGAGTATCTTAAGAAAGAATTTGAAATGAAAGATCTCGGGAAAACAAAATTTTGTCTTCGCTTGCAAATTGAGCATTTAGTTGATGGGATATTTATTCATCAGTCAACTTATACATAAAAAGTTTTTAAAAGGTTTTATATGAACAAATCACATCAATTGAATATTCCGATGAAAGCTCGTTCACGTGATGTGAAGAAAGATATATTTCGACCTCGATAAGATAATGAAAAACTTCTTGGTCCTGAAATACCATATCTTAGTGCAATTGACGCACTTGTGTATCTTGCTAATAATACAAGACCAGATATAGCATTTTCAGTTAATTTATTAGCTAGATATAGTTCTTCTCCAACAAAAAGACATTGGAATGGAGTTAAGCGTATATTCCGTTATTTTCGAGGAACAACTTATATGGGCTTATTTTATTCAAACAAATCAAATTTTGATCTAGTTAGTTATGCAGATGTCGGATATTTATCTGATCCACCAAAGCTAGATCTTAAACAAGTTATTTGTTCACATGTGGAGGAACTGTTGTATCATGGCGATAAGTGAAACTGACCATAACAGTTACCTCCTCAAATCATTCTGAAATTCTTGCAATTCATGAGGCTAGTCGAGAATGTATATGGCTAAGATCAATGACTTTACACATTCTTAGAACACGTGGCTTGTCTCTTAATAACCTTCCAACGATATTATACGAAGATAACATAGCATGTATAGCCCAAATCAAAAGAGGATATATTAAAGGAGATAGAACAAAACATATCTCACCTAAGCTCTTCTACACTCATGATCTTAAAGAAAATGACAACATCAATATTCAACAAATTTATTCGAAGAATAACCTGGTAGATTTATTTACAAAGACCTTACTATGATTTGAGACATTGAAATACAACAACTTAGAGATCCCAAGTGATGTTTTCATGAGGGGGAGCAAAATAATTTTTTTTTTGAATTTATTAAATTATATGAAATATATACTCTTTATTCCTTCACTATGATTTTTTTCCCATTGAGTTTCCTAGTAAGGTTTTAACGAGGCATATATCATATAAATTGTGGACTTCTAAAGGGGAGTATTGTGAAATATTTTTAGATGTTCATACTTTATTGCCTAGGTGTCAAACACACACAATCACATTTGTCTTCCATTTCTCTCTCTCACACTTGTTGCACAATCTTTGTAACACATGTTACCCACAACACTTAGTCACCAAGGAGTACACCCATATTCACCAAGGTAATAACACCTATACAAGCCCATGTAATGACGGCTTTATAATCTTCCTTGCTCCCCAAATCTATGAGTTCTACAAATATTGGTGGTAAAGTGCATAACAAAAGGAGGGAAAACTACTTATTTTCTTAAAATTCTCTATTTCTATCTCCCCTCCTCTTTTAACATTTTGTTATGTTTTATTTTGACAGTGCTTTTATTTGTTCCAAACTTTTACAATACCAAGTACTTAATTCTAC